TACTTTAGTTACACCTGTCAAAACTCGGAAGCAACCAAAATGTCCTTCAGCAGGTAAATGGGTGAGTAAACTGTGGTACATCCAGACAATGGAATAGTATTCAGTGCTAAAGAGAAATAAGGTATCAAGCCATGGAAGCCTGGTTCCTCTTAACTTCCACAGTATTCAGTCTGTGTCTCTGTTATGGCAGCTTTTAATCCTGTTATCAGAAGCTCCTGAGGTCAAGGACTGGAGCAGACTTGTTTATAGTACCTAGCACAGTGCCAGACATATAGCAGCCTTTCAAATATATGTTGAGTAAATGAAAAAAAGATTAAACAGTTCACTCAGGAAAAAAAGAAGATAGATTTTGCTGTAAAAACTCTAGAGTTTTAAACTGTAGCTCTGCCGTATGGAGTTGTGATCAGTCTGCTTTAAAAAAAAGAGTGCAGACATAAAAGTAGCTACCTCTTATCCCCTTGGGTGGAGTCTAATTGGCTTAGACTTCTCTTAGGATCAGGACACCTGTAAATCTCCATAATCCCATGTCCTTTGCTGTATCAGACAATGAGAGGGCTGAGCCACGAACATAGTGGATACATGGCCCTGCAGTCAGAATTCTGAGTTCTCTTACTGAGTATGTGAGTGACCTTGGGTAAAGTTACTTAACCTCTTTGTGTTCAATTTCCCATCTGTAAAATGAGGATAGTTGTACATACATTTTAGGGTTGTTGTGAGGAGCTGAAGCAGTTCCTGGCACACAGTAAATGTTATATAAATGTTTGCTGTTCCTAATAATGGTCGTAGAGTTATCATTCTGGTAAAAATTAAGATCTATAAACTGTAAACAATGGGGATATGTGTTGGGAGTCCTCAAGACTGTCCCACCCTTGTTTGAATATTTGCTAGAAGGACTTGTACTAGTTATATTCACTGCTAAATTCTGTGACAGTGACATAGTGAAGATACACAGCTGGATTGTAAGAGTAAAAGACACAGGAGGAGTTGGCAGGAACCCACGTAAGGCTTTCTTCCCCAGAAGTGAAATGCAGCAATATATGTGCAATGTTTTCTTGCCCATTGGAGACTCAGTACCTGAAGATTTTATTGGAAGCTGGTCACATAGCGCCTTCTGTTTAGCACAAACCAGAATTCCAGACCCCCAGAAACAAAGACTAAACCACACAGTTTGCACATTCTAGGCGCTGAGAGCTCCCCTTATCAGTTAAGTTTTGACTGGGAACACTCCAGGAGCCAAATTGGCCAAGGATCAGTCTTGCAAGCAGGCCTTTTTAGGGATAGCAGTCTCTCACATCTTCAGTGTTAACTCTTTTCTGCACAGGGTAAAAAAAATGGTACTTCCTGCTCCAGAATTAGTTCATGGTTATTCTGTAGCACTGGAGATAGAGATTGTGATGGGTAATTCAGGCACACTCAATTTTGCCATTTTTCTTTTCCAGAATGGCTTTGACTACTTGTTGACATACAGCGACAATCCCCAGACTGTGTTTCCTCGCTACTGTGTTAGTTGGATGGTTTCCAGTGGTGAGTAGGAACGTGTAACAGAGCCTGGAACCTGGCTTGAGCATTAAATTTTGCTCTGTGTTTTTAATGGTAGCAAGATTAATAATACTTGTCTCAATGGAGTCCTGTTGAGGAAATTTAAACATTCGTTCAAGCTTCCTTGATATCTTCATAGTGTTCTTGAAGAGTTTTTCTTCTTCAGTAGTGTTGAAGAATACTATGAAGATATCAAAGCTTTCAGGTGGGGTTTGAAGGGATAAGAATTATAGGGTCACAGAAAAGAAGCTGTATGCAGAGGAGAGTGGGTTTTTTGTTTGTTTGTTTGTTTGTTTTAGTGGGAGTCTCACTCTGTTGCAGAGTCTGGAGTTCAGTGGTACGCTCATGGCCCCTGCAGCCCTGACCTGCTGGGCTCAGGAGATCCTTCCATCTCAGCCTTCCAAGTAACTGGAACCATAAGTACGTGCCACCATGCTCAGCTACTTTTTTGATTTATTGTAGAGACGAGGTCTCGCTAAGTTGCCCAGGCTGGTCTCAAACCCCTGGGTTCAGGCAGTCCTCTTGCCTCTGCTTCTCAAAGTGCTAGAAATACAGGTGTGAGCCACCATTCCTGGCTAGTTTTTAAAACATTGGCTTCAGTGCCTTAAATAAGAACTGTACAGTATTTAAAATTTTTCTTCTTCAGTAGTGTTGAGGACTGTAAGATCTGGCATAGAGAATGTGATCGTAGGGCAGTCACCTGGTGAAAGGGGCACAAAGGCAACACGTCTCAGCTGTAACTGCGCTTTTGCTTTCTACTATTTTGTCAAGAAAGCATTCTCATGTGATTTCTTCCTTTTTTGTTCTCTATAGGCAGCTGCTTCTTTAGGGAGAATGGAGAGGTTAGGTATTTCTGTTTGAGATTAGGTATTTTGTTAGATATTTGTGGCTATTTTGGCCATGCTGTTGATAAGTGATATTTTAATCACCTAAAAAGAACCTTTTGGGATATAAGTGGCCTGTTCAGTATCACTTTTCAAAGGTTTAGAGTTTATGAGTTGCTTTTACAACCTATGCATAGGGAACATATTCTGGGAGGCAGCTGTTAGACTATGATATCTGTAAGGAAGAGCTAGCTCCCTATCATGAAAGAGATAGGGCTTATAATTTTGAACTTACTCTTGGTTTGTATGTCAGCTCAACCAGCTTCCCCTGTTTCCCAACAGGCATGCCAGATTTCCTGGAGAAGTTGCACATGGCCACTCTGAAAGCCAAGAACATGGAGATTAAAGTAAAGGACTATATCTCAGCTAAGCCTCTGGAAATGAGTGGTGAAGCCAAGGCCACTGCGCAGTCCTCTGAGCGCAAGAGTGAGGGTAGTTGTGGCCCTGCTCGGATCGAGTATGCCTGAAGGGCTTCAGAATAAGAAGGAATAGGCGCTTCTTGTCCTGTCTTGGTCCCTTGTCACCCTGCTACAGAATGGGGACATGCCACATGTATTAGAAGGCATCTGCTGTGTCTAACAGTGCAAGATAATTTAATAACTGGTGTCTGATTTCATTCGGAGCCCTTATTGCTCTTTTATCAAAACAGTGAGAAGAAGGCTACATCTGTGGGAGTGTTGCCATATTCTCAGGCCAACCATTTTGAAAATCGGTATTTCATTGAGCTAATCTGGAACGAACCTCTCACCTCAGGCCAGAAGGGGATGGCCTCCATTTGCTTTCTCTGAGTTGTTCCTCTGCTGACATTCCAAATCTACCACTGGTTGTGCAGCACTTTGGATTTCCTTCAGTTCTGCAGGTCCACCTGGAAAGTGTTGTTGGCTGGTTGAGTCTCAAATGAGGGGTCACTGGGAGTGCTCTTGGTAACGGTCTTGATGTGAATGGGTGTGAACGATACTTGGCTGTGTTAATAAGTGCCTTGTCCTCACCTTGCTTTTATCTTTAGGGACATGAAGTTTGTACCAAGAAGTTTCTCTCCCTGCCTGCATAGTACCTACCACCCATTGACTCACCTTACCCAAAGCAGTTTCCTTTGAATGGGTCAATTATTCTATATTTGTGCACTATATTCATTGGATCATTGCCTCCTTCCTAATCTTAGCCCATTTACCAAGAGCACTGAGAGATGAATCCTCTTAGTAAGTAGCTTCCTGTATCATCAGTGTTTTTATGGGGTCACTGGAGATGTTTCAAACATCACAATTAAATTTAGTTTAGATTTTTTTAACCTTTGTGTCAGAAAGAAGGAGTTGGGGAGTTGAATGGGATTTCTCCATAGTCCCACTGCATAGAAAGCACCATTTTGCTTTAGGCATTATTTTTCACATTTCAGATTTTACTCATCCTTCTCAGAAGGCAAAAGGCAGAGGAATGGGGGTTAGGCCACGCCCTTGGCACTCTCATGTCTGTAGACAAGCTGTGTGAACATGTAGCATATGTAATCTTGCCCCAAATACTAATACAGTAGGGATGTGGTTTGTGTGACCCTCTTGTTCCTCTAAAAAGTTTTTCCTCCTCTCTTCAGAGCTAAAATAAAAGCAAACTACACTGTTCAGATAAGGTCACAATCAGATGGTATCATATTGGCCTAGCTGGTTTTGCTTATGGTCATGCGGCAATCTTTGGGAGATTAGGGATCAAGTTTTAAATCCTTCTCCTTCCATTTTTTCTGGAATCTAAATGGCCAGATTTTTCCTTTTTTTTCCCTGCTTGCTATCCTTTTGTGGTGTTAAAAATTAAGTGATCTAAATCTGAGACTAACTTAAACTCTTCCTTGGCCTTCTTGTTGCCTGTTCAGTTTTGTGCCAAGGAAATAACTGCCCCAGTGTTGTATGTCTTGCCTTCTCCAAGTCGTAGGCAGAACAGAGAGATGCATCAAGCAATCCTAGCCCCTTTTCATCAATCACTTCTCTCTTCTCCCCAGGACCTGACAGAAGCCAGCGAAGAGTCCTTGGGTTATGTCTGAACTTAGCGCCTGCGATTGATTGTTGGGGTGTGAGTGGGTGTATGCATGACAGGGAGAGAGGGCGCGAGGGAGTGCGCGTGCATGCACAGGTGCTAAGGAGTTGCAGTTGCTCCATGTTCTGACTTAGGGCAATTTGACTCTGCACTTGGGGTCTGTCTGTACAGTTACTTAAGTCATTGTAATGATTTCACTCCTAACTGTGACATTTTTATCAAATGTGTGAATAAATAAATATATAAAGATTGGTACAAAAGAGTGTTTGTCTTTGGACAGATGGTGGTGGGGAAATCTTGCATATTGAGCTTATTATCATTTCTGTTTGATCACAGAGTTAAATTTCTGTCCCAAGAGTTGGCAGGTGAAAGTAGCAGGACTTGTTCTTTCTTGGTAGGTAGTGACTAACAAACAGCTAGCCACCTTGTCTAGATTATGAGCCCTTTCCAGGTGACCAGTTTGGCATCTAAAAATAAACCACCTATTTGCACTTCTCTATCTTGATCTGTTAACCCATGTCCTTTGCTTTTAAAGAAGGATCACTTTAATGGAAACAGTGCTAGAACTTAGCAGAGAGTAAAACTCAGGAGGGATTTGAGCAAGCATAAGGTCTAGATTTGAGGAGGGCCAGTTCTGCTAGAATGCTCTAGCAGTTTCGCTAGAATGCTCTTGAGTATTAACATGAGTTTTGAGCTTAATGTGTGATTTTGCCTGTGGGAAACACTAGCTGAACACAGTAATAAATAATCGGTGTCATTACTGAGCATCTGCTGTGCCAGTAATGCTTTTACCTAATCCTACAACCCTGTGAGTGTGTAGCGAGCCCTGTTTTGTAGATGAGGAAATGGCATCAGAGGTTAAGTAATATTCTTGCTCAAGGTCACACAGGAAATGACGGACCCAGGATACAGACCTAGCTTTGACATTTCTAGATACCTTTGGCAGCATGGCTTACAACTTAGGTAAGTTTCTCATGAACTGCCTTCCTCTGGGATAGTTGAATTGTTTTGAAGCTTGGATTACAGACTTCCTTTTTATCCATCTGTGTTCAATTTTATGTGGTTTATACCTCACCCACCCCTTGTTCCATGCCATATCTTAGCCAATTGCTTGAGCTTTGTCTCTTTCTATGAGTATCTGAAGCACAAATATCATTTTCCTCCTGAAATCTTCAGGATCTGCACCACTCCCAGTGCCACATGGTCTAATACAAAGGCATGGGGATCAGGCACTCTTGGAGAAACCTTGAAATAACATTTTCTAAAAGTATTTAATTTCAAAGTAACCAGTCTTTGTACCCATCATGGTAGAAGTCTAAAAATTTTTTTCAAAATGAAAATAACTTAATAAAATCTGAGAACTATGATTTCTAATGAATAAACTTGAAAGTCTTATAAAAATTAAAGAGTACCGTGTGGATGAAAGGTATCTTAATGTAAAATGTGCTATTCCCACAAGCCTCAATGGGTACTTGAGAGCATCATTCAAACAGAATCTCCAGGCTATACCATCTATCAGTTACTTTAATAACCTCAGGGTTGATTGTGGCCTACAAATGCACATAATTTTTTTTTTTTGAGTCAGTGACTCACTCTGTCACTCAGACTGGAGTGCAGTTGTGTGATCATAGCCTCAAACTCCAGGCTCAGCTGATTCTCCCTCCTCGCCTCCTGAGTAGCTGGGACTTCGGTGTGTGCCATTATGCCTGGATAATTTTTAAATTTTTTGTAGAGACAGAATCTCACTATGTTGCCCAGGCTGAAAAAAATAAGCAGGTAACTTATAAACTTTGTCATCTATTTTTAAAGAGCCTAACCATAACCTGAAAAGGTAGGCTGAATACTTGAAAGTAGTAATATTTGGATGTTTTGCAGCTAAGGCATTTTATCATATCTTAAAACTGTTGTGTATGGGAGTTAGGATTATGTTCAGCCTTGAGGGACAGAAACTCACAATATGACCAACAAATCTACCCTTGATTCTTGTGAATGTAGCTAGTCCAGGGCTGGTATGGTGGCCCGGCAGTCTAACCTGTCCCAGGCTCCTGCTCTCGTTTCACTTTTTTCATACAGCTTCACCAAGGTAGAGTTACAGTTTCATCAGAATTTGAGGGTGGAACCCAAGCGTCCTGTTTTTTAAAGTTTCCAGGGAGCCTAGTATGTAGTAAAGTTTGAGAAGCACTGGTGAAGTGTTAAAAATAGGACTCTGGAGCTAGAGTCAGGAGCTGCGTGACCCTGAAGAAGTTACGGAACCTGTGTCTCCTAATCTGTAAAAGGGAAGTGAGAGTACCTCCCTTGTAGGGTTGCTGTGAAGGTGATGTAATACATGTAGAGTCCCCAGACTGGTGCTGAGACAGCACTCAATATGTTCTCACCGTGCCGTCTTCTGATTGTACTTCTGGATGTACTGTAGTTTGTCAATACCCTTTCTAAAATGTGGAGCACAGGACCAGACCCCCATTCACCTCCATGAAAGTGAGCACCAGAGAAAGGGATTGTGTCTGCTCATTGAGGGCTGTGTTCTCAGTGCTTCAGTAGGGTCTGCTCCACCTCCAGCTATCATGTCCGCGTTCTGCTAGTGGGAAGAAACAAGGAGAGACAATGCCCCATCCCTTTGAGGACACTCCCAACAGCATACAATTTCTACCTATAGCCTAGTGGCCAGAGTATAGTCAAAACAATACCCAGAGGCCAGACACAGTGGCTCATGCTTGTAATCCTAGCACTTTGGGAAGCTGAGGCAGGAAGATCACTTGAGACAGTCTGGGCAACATAGCAAGACTCTTACTCTACCAAAAACAAAACCATACAACACACACACCCAGCTGCTGGGAAATAGAGTCTATATTTTAAGCAGCCATGTACCCAGTTAAATTCAGAGGCAATTTTACTGGGGAAGAAAGGGAGAATGATAATGGGGGACAACTGGCAGTCTGCCAAATGATAGATTAAAAGAACTTTAAATGTATCACTTCAAAGGACTTTGAATGGTTCAGTTAAAAAGGGAAATATTGCCAGGAGCTATGGTAGAACTTTCAGTAGCCATTTTAGAATTAAGTAGATGTTTTAGACTTCCTTGGCATCAACATCAAACCAGTTGGTTCATAGTTCTGGGACCGTATACCCCATCTTTGAAAACCATAATGACCTTTAACCATGTCCAGTCAATGGTGCCTCTTCCCTCAGACTTTAGACAGCGTGTTGAGGACCCTCTGAAGAAACCTCTTTTTGGTCTCAGTCTCAGTGTCAGGACTAGGACACTCAGACATGCATTTTTATTTTTCTTCATTTCTGGATCCACTTTATGTCCCTGCCCTTGTTTTTGGAGTTATGTTTCTGTTTTTGATTTTGTTTTTTGAGTTGGAGTCCCACTCTATTGCCCAGACTGGAGTGCAGTGGCCGCTCCCGGCCACCGCAGCCTCGACCTGCTGGGCTCCGGCGATCCTTTGCCTCAGCCTTCCGAGTAGCCGGAATTACAGGCGCGTGCTACCACGCCCGGCTGATTTTTTGATTTATTGTAGAGATGAGGTCTCGCTGCCCAGGCGGGTCTCGAACCCGCGATCAGACAATCCACTCACTTCAGCCTCCCAAAGGCGCGGGATTACAGGCTGAGCCACCGAGCCCGGCTCTGTTTTTGTTTTTTGGGTTTTTTTTGGTTTTTTTGAGTTGGAGTCTCACTCTGTCGCCCAGACTGGAGTGCAGTGGCTGCTCCCCGCCAACGCAGCCTTGACCTGCTGGG